ATGTATTGGTGCGAAATGGGGCGGCAGTAGAGGAAAAAGAAAAAGAGCTCTCCGAAAAAAGGGAGTCCTTCGCAACAGCCTGTGCTAAGGGAATGAGAGACTAAGCGCGGAGAGGAGAGTATGAGGCGAGAGAGCGCTACAGATGAGAGAGCGCCAGACAACAGCCTGATAAGAGAAAATCTGCAGCTTCAGCAGCTTACTTTGCAAGGCCCAAGCGCTCTTGTCGGTTGGTTTCCGTGCACGGGAACGCCACATTTGTGATTGTCCTCTAGGGGTCTATACTACAGACCGAAGGGAAGCGTTCACACGACCTCTGCCTGTGGTCACCTCAGTACGACCCCCCCTCAGATCGGGGTCTTGATACGACCCCTCTAACTTTGATTTGATGTGAATAAGCGAGTTCCATCAATGTACAGCAAAGCATTCAGTTGCAGCGCGGTTTATCCGTGGGTCAGATTTGCCGAAACCCCGCTCGAAACCGTCGAAATCTACACTCTCGATGAAAAGGTTCCATTCCCCATTTCATAATTTTGGAGCAGTGTGGTAGGGTTAGATAGAGCTGGATTTGCTACTACCGGGCAATATTGAAATTGATCTAAAAGCTTTACACTCGAAGAGATAGGGTCTCTCAAATTTTGTCGAGGCAGCGTCGAGGATGCTGAATTTTTCATGCGAGTTTTTGCCACTTAAAAGGCAATATCTCTCTAATTTTGTAAGATCTTGAAAAAAGAAGACAGTTTTGGAAAGCGGAAGGTTTGCGCTTTCTAACAGTATGTTTAGCTTCCTTCTACATTCTTTAGTTGAGGAGATATTTGCGTCGAGGATCTATCGAGGATGATTCTCGGCCGCTCAAAAAGCCGCTCCCTTCTTCACCATTGCAAGTGTAATTCGTTGGCAACGCTCGAAATGTGTCTAGAATACATTCTTCCAACATAAGCAATAAGAAAAGGGGCAATCGTCATCATCCGATTTTGTCTGGGTATAGGCCATGCACTCGAAGTTGCAGAATCGATTGGAAGGTGTTATATGATCATGACCAGTTGACAGAAGCTGCATTGTAGTAAACACATTTCGTAACTCCTATAACCTGAAGAACAACTTCATTTGCCCAGGGCTTTCCTTCACGGTTGTCGTTTTTGCGACAGGGTCCCTAACAACAGTGTCATTCTCAGCGAGGTATTAAGGGAGAGGGAGCGGGCGGTAGATAGAGGAACCATGGCCTTTGCACCGCTGTGCAGCATGTGAGCGCTAAAAAAAAAAACTATCCTGGTTGCGAACTAAGCTTTTTCATTATTCGCAATACTTTCAAATACTTCTTTTCGGTAATAGGGAGACGGAGCGACTGAACTGGCAAAGGATATTTCATACTCATTTTCTCACATACACTTAAGTTTTTTCTCTGCGGCTCGGTATCAACCTACTCCTCTCTCCATCTGCCACCAACATGCCCACTGACTTACTATCCCCCACGCAGTAGGACCCCCATGACCCGGACTTGACAAATGCGAACCCCCCAAGTCTGTCGAGGATTTCCTCGATCCCGATATTCGCCCTGGTAGACGTTGCCGGCTTCTGCTCAAGCAAGTCTATGATCAACGAGACACCAGGAATGCAGATGATACAGGTAAGTTACTTTGATTTTCCGATTATGCACCTTGGCACTGATTATTCACGATTCTTGCACTGGTTTAATGTCTATTATCAGTGTCTTTTTGTTAAGCTATCATATTACCAAAACTGCTGCAAGAATGTGTAAGCGAGCAGATCTGCTGCATTTGTAACGTCTAAAAAAGCGTGGTGCACTTCATGAATCTCTAAAAAAGCCCTACAGATATCTAATCTTGATGCACAAATAGGTGCATACGTGTGGCGATGCTCATTGCTTTTACCTTGAATGCATGTTTAATCCCTTCGAAGTCTGCTATATTTCTTGTCCAGCGTCAGTGATCCGTTCAGCGTCATGTTCGTTTCTGGATCCTGAACAAACATGGAGATGCCCCGCCTAATGCAGACATTCACAAAATAAACACAGACAGACCAAAATTTCATCGAACTCATGAGTTAAGCAATCCGAACTTTCTTTGAACTCCTTCTGGTTCGCCATACTTGGCAGTGTGTTTTCTTGTCCCTCTTCGTCCTCATTCTTTCCTGGAAAATTATTTTGCTCTGAATCACTTATGAGGACTAAAGACAAAATATATGATTATATGATTGGGCGCCACGCATGGAAGTTTCGTGACAGGTGATCTAAGATTGCTGCCCAAAGGGAAGAGAGGGCGTTTTCCTCTCGGTAGAAAATTGAAATCGCACCTATGAGTACCCCTTACCAAGAATTCAGGAAATGTGAGAGGCCGCTCATTCTTTGGTTTCGGGGGCCGTGATCTCTAACTGGCGCGAGCCTTGATGGATAAAACACGCACCATTTGCAAGTTTTTGTAAGCAAAAATCACGAGAAAGACTAAACTCGTACACTCAAGTATTCGAAGCTTCTAATTTCATTGCCCATCATTGGCTTAAATATTGAGCACCGTTGTTTTGATATGCATTCGTCGTGAGAGACCCAACAAAGGTCGAGATACAGCAGATGAAGTATACCAGTAGTCAAGAGGTTAACCTTTCAAGTATGTCCTCTAAGGCATCGGATATGGCTTTGACGCTTACAAACGTTTAAGTATACGTCCTTTGTGAAATGAATGCCCTGCCAGACATTGCCGGAACCGGTCGAAGGTTTGCTTTCCGTTTCAAAAAATACTACTAACGACCTGCTTCAATGCGGCTTGTATCAAAACCTAACGTCTTATTTTATAACGCCTTCAGCAGATAACCTAAAAAAGCAGATACTTTCAATGGCTAACAATGTTAGAGGAATCTGGCGAGAGCGTTAAGCAAGGGACTCAGTGTCCCAAAGAAACTCATTTTTTCGCTTCCATCTTCCAAATTCTTTTTCCACCATACTTAACCCGCATCTAAACGTGATACAGCTACTGTATTTTGCTCATGACTATGCTTCTTATTTCAATATTAATAATACAAGAGAGGTGCAACCAAAGAAACGCGAGAAATGACAGGCGAGACTGGAAAAGTTTGTGTCCAGAGTGTTGGATAAAAAGACCTTTAATAAGTAAAGAAGATCAAACCATTGCGGTGAAGCCATCCATTTATGGGCCGCCATGGCGCATGTGGATGCTATAGAACAAATGCAAAAAGAAACCCAGTGCAAAATAGATGCGCGAAAATAATCTATTTGGATGCGAAGCCATGCGCTCCGCTGTCGTTAGTGTGTCAAGCACCATGTTTGCCGTATCAGACTCAAACGTAGAAGGCTACAATAGAGATATTCGTCAACTAAAATCTGCTCCCCTTTTCCAGTAAAGCATCTTTTGGATTTTGTGAAGTATGATTGATGCAGCTTCGAACGTGGAGGGAAGTTTTTTTTATCGGCCTCCCTCTGTAGTTCTTTGCCTCTGTTCTGATGTTTTGCTTACCATCTGAAATATCTTTCAGCAATTGCCTTCTCCCTGCTTCCTGCTTTATAAAACCATGTAATATACAGTAACGGTCAAAAGTGTTCGCCCCAATGAAACGATTTTAGTCTAAGTTATAAAGTATATGAGTTATTAGTCTGCAGTTTAATAACATTTCTCCCCAGGAAAATAAAGTAGAGCTAGTTGTCGGTTTGGTCAATTTTTGTCGGCTGGACCTCCCATTTCGCAGACCTAAAATTTGAAAACCTGGAACAGGTGGAAGTGGAACATACATTTTGTAGAGCAGACAATTCTCTTTCGAATGGTATACAACACGATGTAAAAGCATGGGGATTTAGATGAAAATTTTTTGGTTGAAAAAAAGCGACACTATTTATGAGACAACCTAATACATATCTCTTAACATTCACGTCTAATGTTTCTCGAAGAAATGCGGAAAGTGTGATCTCACCTCCGTCGTTCAAACCGTTTGTGATTTCGTGAGCGATGGGAAAGCCTATACTGCCGTAAAGGTAAGACCTGAAGATAATTACTCCTAGTAATTACCCTTTTGAAGGAGCTGCGATTTGAGATTTCATTTCCTAGTCGAAACTCGGCTAATTTTAAACAGTTCTATTAAACATATGAAACGGCCCACAAATCTAGGCCAACTAGCCCATAACTGTGGCCCATTTTGACCAGACTCAATGCCAGAATCACTCCATTTGGAGTGCTCTTTCAATGAGCTAGTAAACTCCCTTGCCCCGTTTCGTCTCCCGTCCCGCAACTACACATGGAGGTTGAGCTGCCATTTTACCATCGAAAATGTGTTCGCCAAGGCTCATTTTCGCGCTTTATACGGCAAACCTCCATGTACACGTGTACAACGCACAAGATGCTGGTCTATTATAGTAGCCTCTCATAAGAAAGGTCCTTCAGGGCAAGCCAACGCGCTTTTCAAGAGCGTTTCCTGCTATTGTAGGCACGCATTTAGGGAATGCAAAACCATGTTTCATTTTCGCTGAACGGTTAAAGCAGTACCAAAAAAAAGAATTGTAAAGTGCTGTTGTTGGTTTCGATCCCCGTGAGGACTAAATTTTGCATTTGGGTTGGCGACCTAACTGATTGATCAGCAATACGCGCTAAATGTAAATTCATCGTCAATTCATTCGTCAGGACCAAACAGTTGGCCGCCAACCTTGATTGCAAAATTTAGTCGCCGCGGGGATCGAACCATCAAGGGTATCATTCACCACTTTTTTGATACTACTAAAACCGTTCAGCGAAAACGAAACATGGTTTTGTGGTCCATACATGCGTCCCTACAATATGCAAGAAACCGTTTCCAAAAAGCGCGGCTTGCCCTGAAAGACCCCCCCCCCCCCCTTGTCAGAGCCCATCCACCAATGTCTCTACACTAGCGTCCCACCCACCAATAATCACATTCATTGCAGATCATCTTAATGAAATATTGAAAAACTGACCTTGGCATATCCGTCTGGAATCGTGGAAACTGGACGAAGCTTGCCGGTGCAACTATAAAAAAGTTATTCAAAACACATACTGTTTTCATGGATACTGTCTTAGGCTGGATTTTTCTTTATTTCGGATTTTCCTTCAGACGAACAATTGAGAATAATCGCTAGATGTTTCTGTTTCGCGTAATTGCAGCTAGGTTGGTTGCATTCGATTACAACAAGAACTACCCAACTCTGTTGCCTTCTATGATAGAACAGTGATGAATTTAAAAAATAAATAAAAAGAAAAACAATTGAAAATCAGGCCCTCGTTCACAGCCTCAACGTCCTCAGAATATGACGTCATCTGTCTTCATCCGTCGGGCTTGAAGGAGGCTACCATAATCGCTCCATTCTGAAGCTGCTACATAATTTCTTCAATCAATTAACTGATGGAATAGCTTCTTGAAGACACTAGCTCTGACTGTGGGACCCGATTCCAACTAGTGTTTCAGCGTTGTTATGATACGCGATCTGGAAAAGACCGATGCCGAAACCGTACACCATATTGCCGTGGGAAAATCTTTTGATGCCTTCGTGTAGACTGCTGTCATTTATTAGGTGGGCACATAATTTCTAAGGTTATTCGAATTTATTACATTTTTATTTTCTGATGTGCTTACATTTGTACAGTGCGTTGCAAAATCATAGGACACCCCCCAAAAATATGAATATCTCGGCTTCTAGAAAAAGCCGTCTATCGCAACTGGTAGAATCAGAACCGCCTCTATAAAAAACCTATACAAACAAGTAGCCAGATCATCCGAATAGTTTTCCGTATTTTTAGACAATTTTTTTAGTTTTGTAGTCGTTGCAAAATCATAGGACACCCCTCGGAAGTCTCCTTACAGTTGAATTTTTTTA